GGAAGCCCCTGAAGACTCATTTTTATTCCACGGGAATTTTGTCTCAAGTATATTACATACCAGTGTAACACCGACAGAAGATGTCCACCGAATATTAATGACGTCATTAAGACCCTGAGATTCTGCTTAGTAACTACTTACTTACATTTAAATGAAAACTATACAGGCAACCTAACAGGGTTACTACAGTTTCACCTGTTTCATCCACAGTAGCTAACTTATGTGTAAGTAAATTCCAAGAAAGTGTCTTCAGTTATTCTACAGAGGGAACAATTTGCCTGAGATATATTGGTGACACAATCGTAATTTCAAAACATGACCTATACCAAAACGTTCTTAGATCAGCTGAACTCAGTATCAAGTTCAGCTGAGAAAAAGAAACGGGTAAAGGGGAACCGTCTTTTCTTGACTGTCTTGTTAAGTGGAAAGAAAATGGAGATCTAGGTATAACCGTTTCCAGGGAAGCAAAGTATTCAAACAAATATTTAGATTTCAATTCATCACATCTCCTCAGTGTGAAGATGTCTGTTGTCTCCAGTCTTTTAAATAAAGCATATACTCAAATAATGGATTAAAATGAAGGAGTGAAGAAAGTAAAATATATGAACAAGGTTGTTAATCATGGGTGTAAACAATAGTCACCCCCACACCAGTCACACACCTCGGATGAGGAGGAGATTAGGAGAGCGCTCAACAAATCCAATATCATCAGAGTGTTCTACAGAACATCAAACACATTGTAGAGTGCCTTAGTTCATTTGAATAATGATTTGTATTTGTATGTCCAAATAACTGTAAAACAAAATTAATTTGTTTCAACTGATTTTTCGCCTTTCAGTGCTAATCGCTTTATCAAAGTTATAGTAAACCGGAATTGACAGTATCCCCCAAGCTTATTCTTATATGATAACTTGACAAGTTTTCTTCTCTATGAATGATTCTACGCTATCAGAATTGTAGAATAAATATGATATCCATATGTAGTGTGTTATGTGTATGCATTTCAGACTGAGATTTGTATGTATACACGTGTCGATTGATAGTTCTTATTGGTATGTGGAAGCGTGTTGAGATCACCTCAAGCTACTTTTTAATCTCTCATTCCCATTTACAATTGACATCATTTGGGGAACCATTGAAAATCTGGGAGCACGGGACACCTGTTTCATCTTGGTGTCGGACTTCTCAGGAGTACGCACCCACGACCCGACCAGGGGTCGAACTCAGGGCGTCCAGGTTTCACGGTGAACGCGTTACCATTCAGACACTGGGTCAGGGTTCAGTGGTTCACATTTTCCAACTTCTGTCGATTCACGGTATAGCGTGTCTACCACCCTAAGTTTTCAGTTAGCATCCACTTTCCTTCTGACTAGTTGACCCTAAAGGTCACAGCTTCTCATTAGAATTTTGGGATATCCATCTAGAAGCAAGTCACTAATGAGCACTATACAGTAATGTCATTTGGAGATGAATCGGGATTTTAATTTTGGAGGTAGTATTCATCGCTGACTGCGAACCACTGAACTCCAACCCAGAGACTGAATGATTAACGCTTTCAACGTGAAACCTGAAGTTTCTAAGTTCGATCCCTGATAGGATTGTGGATGCGTATTGGAGAGGAGTCCCGTACTAGGACGAAACAGCTGTCCATCGCTTCCAGGTTTTCAGTGGTTTCCTATATTATATCAGTTCGTGATGAATACTACTTCTAAATATCGAAATTATTCAGAAAGGCTTTAGGGATTATAAAGAACGCCTTACAGTCAAACCTAATTCAGAGCGGATTCAAATGTGTTTAAATAGGAATGAGGGAATTAAACGTAGTTTGACTTGGTCTCAATCCACCCCTCATATACTAAAGTAACCTTTATCCATACGATAAGAACTATCGACACATACGTGAACGTACAAATCTCAATCTGTAACTCATAAACTCTTCACACACACAATACACTACATAAGGATATTATATTTATTCTACAGTTCTCACAACGCAGAATCATTGGTAGAGAAGAACATACATCAAGTTATCATACATAAAGGAGCTTGGGGGATAATGTAAATTCCGGTTTACTATAACTATGTTGTTTTATATTGTCAATAATGGGAAGTAGAGATACCAAAGTAATTATTATTATTTGTCCCTTGGCTTCTAAGTAGAACATACGGCTTCAGTGGCACGTCTCCATTACACTCTCTTCTCTACAATATTTTCAACCTGGCTCCATGACAGCCCACAAGCTCTTATCTCCTCCTCGCTCCATCTCCTACATGTCATCCTCACCACGGACGCCCAACTCGTCGCCTCCCATTCAGGTCCCACTCGAGCAACCGGCCTGACACGTGATGTCCCTAGTCCGCCTTCCCAGTGAATGCCCAATACAGTCCATCTCCATTTCCTTCCAGTGCATATTTGTTCAGCGATAGGTTCTTGAATGAATATCATTAATCCAAAGCCTATTTTTTTTGAAAACATCAAATCCCAACTGGGTATTATTTTTATTCAACAAATATATCAGATTAGTTTAAAGTTGATTGGTTCAGCTATCATTCCTTTCTTTTCTATTATAATTGAACAGAAAACTTTTTCTTCTAAGGATAGAAAGGAGAACAGATTACCAAGTGGCAGGAACTAGGTGATAGGAAGAAAAAAGGGTCACATAACTTCTCCTCTCTCGATTTCTCTTTTCATTTACGAACACAAAAGTACTGAAAGTATAAGACCGATAGAGTAGTATATATATATATATATATATATATATATATATATATATATATATATATAAGTAGTATTCATCGTGGACTAATGTCAGCTGGGGAACCATTGAGAATCTGGGGGCACTGGACACGTGCTTCATCATAGTATGGGATTCCTGAGCAGTACGCGCCCACGACCCGGTTACGGATCGAACTTAGGACCTCCAGGTTTCACGTTGAACGCGTTAACATTCAGCCACTCGGTCGGTTTCCAGTGGTTCACTATTTCCAACTTCTGTCAATTCACGACATAGCGCAACTATGGAAATAGTGAACCACTGAAAACCGACCGAGTGGCTGAATGGTTAACGCGTTCAACGTGAAACCTGGAGGTCCTGAGTTCGATCAGTAACTGGGTCGTTGCTGCGTACTGCTCAGGAATCCCATACTGCGATGAAGCACGTGTCCAGTGCCCCAGATTTTCAATGGTTCCCCAACTGACATCAGTCCACGATGAATGCTACTTATATATATATATATATATATATATATATATATATATATATATATATATATATATATATATATATATATATATATAATTTTCGAAACTTTATACTGGGTGATGATTGGAGGTGAAATAAAAATCTGGACCGCAGCCGGATTTGAACCAGCGGCATCAGGTTACCGGCCCGTTGCTGTACCAAATGAGCCAGAAGGTTCGGCTGCTAACCACATTTTTCTTTCACTTCTCTTCTAAACTTTAACTGATATTATTTCTGATCGTATACCTTTTCTTCTTTCAACTTAGACATTCAATTTCCCTCCAATTAATTACTAACTTCTTGTTCAATAGGTCCTACAGAAACAAAGATACTAAGTGCAAGTTAATAAACACTTCAGAGTAAATAAACTCTTATATACTCATCAGAAAAACATACATACATACACACATACATACATACATACATGCATACATACATACATACATACACACATACATACATACATACATACATACATACATGTGTAGATAGAAGACAGGAGATTTAAACAAATTAAGCTGTAATTCAAAGCATTCCATGTTTCGTCATTCATTGAACATATTGAACACAGTAGGTAGGATGATGATAAATTAGAAAATTATGCTTATCTTTTAAAATATGAATTTTCTTTCTAACTTACATTCTGTTGAAGACATTAGAAACATTTGAGGAATGATTGATCAGAATGAATAAATTAAATAAGCAAAAAAATATTATCTTATGAAAAATACATATCACAATTACACATATATCACAAATACCTTTGATAAACAGGAACATAGATACACACTGAAGTGCAAAATCACATGTACACACTGATTATTATTATTATTATTATTATTATTATATATTATTATTATTATTATTAAAACACTGACGATACGAACACACACACACACTCATAGATAGGAAAATATCAGCAAACGCAATACAATAAAACATACTGACTGATTAATGGATTGTTTTTGGTTAAATGCATTAAGCTAAGAAAGGTTAATTTATTAGATCTCAAGGTTATTGATTTCAAGGACAAATGATGATGATGATGATGATGATGGTAATCTATTTTAGAAATAGAATATAAAAATGAAACAAAATGATGTATACAGTTTCAGCTTTATATTATACATTTCAATATGATAACATAGGGGGAATGATGATTACCTTCTAAGTGAATGATATACAATCTACTAATGTTGACGGTGCCAATGACAGTGTGTGTGTGTGTCGTGGAGAGAGAGAGAGAGAGACAGTTGGTGAAATCTTGTCTGAAAGAAAACTTAAAGCTCATAACTAATATTTGCATTTAAATTATATTATCTTGAAAATAGATGAACAAAGAAGACAATGAGATCAAGAGAAAGCCAAAAAGGAGATTTTAACAAGAATATACATATATGACATTATTATTAGAAAAACATTACAGATTAGCTGAAAATAGTAAAACATAAACAGGAAAAAAAAAAGATAAATTAACGGAGATAACAATTAATGAATCAGAAAAAGTTACATTCGTATTGTAGAATTGTCTGATCGCCTAAATGTACACACTTCTATACAAATAAATTCTCTCCTTTTTTTGTCTAGAGAAGATAGAAACTGTAGATGCTATTGTGATTTTTTTCAGAGATGGAGAACAGGGTTTGACCAGGAAAGGGAGAAAATATAGTCAGTCAAATAGACACCACTGTTTATATACACATCCATAATTGTATACACAGAACAGACATATTTGTTTCTCCTTGGTTGGAAAATTGACTATGAGAATCCTGTTGTTGACTGTCGATTGATTGATTGTCTTGGTTCAATAGTTAATGATGCTTGATAAGTTTGCTCTTCATCTAAAAGACGTGTTGGATCCAGAAGATAATCAGTAACCTGAATCAGAATAAGGAAAATACAAAGTTACTGATTGGTTAACATCCTAGAATTGTAACATTTCTATTTAAAAATGATGAAAGTTATCCGAATGAGACGATGGCCGACTAACACATATCATCAGAGTAGAACTACATACACAAATACATCATCAAAAGTTGTTATTACTTCACACTTGGATACAAAGAACAAAAGAATAGGAAATAGTGATATCAAAAGTAGACAAAGGCTTATGCAAGAAGAGGGAAGTCAGAAATTAAGGTTAGTCAAAACATTGAATACATCTACACCATTGTGATAGACTTTCAACCATAACACCTAAGGTTTTAACCACTAATTTCTATCATCTAAGAATCCTCTGTCATGTACAAACCGAATTGCAACGCTTTGCATCATTATAGAACAGAGTATGGAATGCCAGTCACCTCAAATCTCTACCTCAACTTCATCGACTTTGAAAAAGCCTTCCACAGCGTCGACAGAAAAGTAATTTGGCAGGCAGCTGATTCAACACTACGAAGTACCACAAACCTTTATCAACCTCATTCAACAGCTATATGATGACGTCACCTGCCAAGTAATTCAAAATGGGAAGCTCAGTGACGCTTTTGAAGTGAAGAATGGAGTGAAACAAGGATGTCTACTATCACCCATGATATTCCTGATTGTAGTGGACTGGATCATGCAACAAACAATGGGGAGCGAGAAGGTGGGCATACGACGGTTGGACCACGGAAAGCATCCTAAAACATTTCGATTTCGCCAATGATTTGTGTCTGATGTCACACAAACCTGAAGATCTACAGGTGAAAACCAACAAGTTGACAGAAGAGGTAGAGCAGCGAAGACACGACTTCAAGTGAATGTAGTGTAGATCAGACAGAGGTGATGAAGATACCCACCAACACTAACACCAACACCACCAACAACAATCTCCAACCACCATCAACAGGAGAAACTTAAAGGAAGTAGTCTCTTTCAAGTACACCTAAGTAGGAGGCAGCACTGTTTCAACTACAGGTGGCATAGGCACAGAAGAGGATGTCAAAGCCAGCCAGCCAGCCAGGATCTGAAGGATAGCAAGACCGGCGTATGTAGTGGTATTCTTCAGTCAGACTTTTCGATACTTCCGGTTATAAACAGAATAATGTTAACTACAAAAGCAACATTTAAACTTACATCTCTTCTATGAGTTATCAGATATGGAGTTTGATGGTATTGTTGAACTTCACGTATCACATGTGCAATCTGTAAAAAAAATGTAACATTTGAAGGTTTATTAAGCAAGCCGTTACTGCACAAGGTGCATCCCGCATTTTATTTTGTCCCCGGGGTTTCGAATTCAATATACTTATACTTCCAGACTGTATTTGAAAATTTATTTCACTAAAATTTTTCGAATAAGATAGAGAATATTTTGAATCCTGGGGTTTTCAATCCCTCAGTTAGTTTGGTATTAGGACAAAATTTCCTAGAGATTATAAGCAAGGAAAAAGATCACTTAGGATCTTTACCCCAGGCTATTTTGGCTTCCGCACACCTTCCTTTTTTAACTATAACTTGGCTGACTACTTAATAATAGTTTTTAGTAGTTAAAAACTGTTCGCAAAAGTAATTGCGCGAAATTCGAAAATATGAGGCCCATACTTTTAAACTTTCAGTTTTCATGTACCTCAGTTAGGTATTGAACATTCTTTAGTTTTTATTATTTTCCTTCAACCTTATTTTTTTACTGTGGATCTGTAAACCAGGCTTTATCGTGCGAATGGAACTGATTTTCAGCAATATTTGTCTCATTTTCTTTATTGCTTTCCTATCTTCTAATGATTCTGCGATTTGGCGTCATTTGATCAACTGTATGATCCATATTTATTTTTAATTTCTGTCAGATGGTCATCCTTAAAGTTGACATTATACACACTGATTAAAAAAGTGGGTTAGAATGGTTATACTAGTTTCACTTCATCAGTAAGTGATTAGAAGCATAGGACCTGGTGTTATTACACCTCATACCACTAACTCAGGGAACAAGAAAACAAAACGAAGAAATGCGAACAGTATGATAAAAAGTTTCTGATAAGTCAAAATGTGAATAAGTTTGATCTGATCGTCCTTTGATTTCTGTCAACCCGGCTTAACTTAACTATCTTGCCTAAAAAACTATTCTGAATATCTACACAACTCACACGATGGTTCCATCATATGCGGTTGTTGTATGAAGTCAACTAGTATCAAATGTATGCAGCATTCGGCTCACCCCAATCTTCATTTGTTATGCTTTGGGTTCATAGATTAGAACATAGTGAAGCGTCAAGCTGTACATTTGAACACTAATAAACAGTGGGATATCGCCATGAAACAATTATTATTTTGTTTGTGCTTTGAAGTTTCTTTAGCGGCTAGATTTGTTTTCTGGGGTAGGGTTGCTAGCCCTATGCCCAACCTTCCGTCTTTACCCGGGCTTATGACCGGCTAGTAACTAGTGAACTAGTTAACCAATAGTTGGACAAAATTGTCTAAAGTTACTTGAGCCTTTTGTATTCATACTGGTTTCATTGGTAACCAACCCAGCAAAATGCGTCTAAATACTTCATCTTGTATGGTTGGACATGGTTTTAGAATGCTGACCAGTTTTCGACTGAATGCTTGCATTTCTGAGATCAAGAACAAATTCTAAACATTCTCAAATTCTATCTTTATGCCTTCTCTTATCGTTTCAATAATTACCTACCATTTACAGTGAGGAAAAATAGTTCAATTTACTTACTGTCTATGAGTGAACAGCTTGACACGAATCATAGCCGAAACAATTCAAAAGGATTAAAGATCACCTGCTTTCACAGAAAACCCTCTACGGCTAAGGTGGTGAACTGCATTACAATATGTTGTAATCTGAAACGCTGCGTCTTATCTATTGTGGGAACAGGATACGGACTTCTGACTAATTCACACAAAAGATGAGATAGCAGTCATATGCCCACTAACTTAGAATAGCTCAATCAACCGATATTGATATGATATGACAACAGGAGTACAACAAGGCTGTCTACTATCACCCATCATATTCTTGATTGTGTTCGACTGCATCATGCAACAAACAGTGGGGAGTGAGAAGGTGGGCATACGACGGTTGGACCACGGAAAACATCCTAAAAGATTTCAATTTCGCTGATGATTTATGTCTAGTATGGTACAAACTCGAAGATCTGCAGGCAAAATCTAACAAGTTGACAGAAGAGGCAGGGTAGGGCAAGGCAATGAAGACGGGACTTCAAGTGAATGTAGTGTAGAAGATACCCAACCACCACCACCACCATCAACAGGAGAAACTTGAAAGAAGTAGTCTCTTTCAACTACACCTAAGTAGGAGGCAGCACTGTCTCAACTACAGGCGGCATAGGCACAGACGAGGATGTCAAAGCAAGCAAGCCAGTCAGCCAGAATCGGAAAGACAGCAAGACCGGCGTTCATTCACCTGAAACCAGTCTGCAGATCTTCTTCACTGCACTCAGCATAAAGCGTGAACATCTGGATTTTCAACACCAAGTCAGTCAAGTAAGTCAGTGCTTCTATGTGATGATTGAGAGGCTTGGGGTGTACGAGAGGTATTTCCAACAAACTGCAGACATTCATCAACAACTGCCACCTAAGCTGACTCGTTACTGAAGCTCAGATGACCAGAATAATGAGGATGAGCAACAAGGAACTGTGGCTAGCTGGCTGGCTGACTGGCTGGCTGGCTGACTGGCTGGCTGGCTGACTGGCTGGCTGGCTGGCTGGCTGGCTGGCTGGCTGGCTGGCTGGCTGGCTGGCTGGCTGGCTGGCTGGCTGGCTGGCTGGCTGGCTGGCTGGCTGCTGGCTGGCTGGCTGGCTGGCTGGCTGGCTGGCTGGCTGGCTGGCTGGCTGGCTGGCTGGCTGGCTGGCTGGCTGGCTGGCTGGCTGGCTGGCTGGCTGGCTGGCTGGCTGGCTGGCTGGCTGGCTGGCTGGCTGGCTGGCTGGCTGGCTGGCTGGCTGGTAACAAACCAACTAAGTAAGAACCTATCACTGAACAAATATGCACTGGAAGGAAGTGAAGATGGACTGTATTGGGCATGCACTGAGAAGGAGGACTGGTGACATCATGCGTCAGGTCAATTGTTCGAGTGGAATCCAAAGGGGAAGCGACGAGTTGGACGTCTGAGATGAGGGTGACATGGAGGAGATGGTGTGAGGAAGAAATGAGAGGTTGTGGGCTGTCATGGAGCCAGGTTGAAAAGATTGTAGTAGAAGAGAGTCTAGTCGAGACGTGCTCCTGAAGCCGTATGTTTCACTCGGAAGCAAAGGGACAAACAATCATGATAATACAACATAATGGATATTCAGCAATATTGAGGTATGCGTAGAGAAGCCTATCTGCTAACAAGGTTGATTTATTCGACCCAGAGACGACAGATTACAAGTATCAAACAACAGCTGATACTTACTGCATAATAATAAATGGCTCTCCTGCTCCACAGGCCTAATGGATGACGCATTGGAGTCTGAAGCTATGAGTAATGGGACCGAATTTCCTTGGTAGGAACAACATCTCTTACTGGGGTGTAGGTACCTCTAACTGGTAACTTTTAAACGAGACGAAATACACATGGTGGATTTCACTGGTAGCCATCAAACAGACATCAACCTAAGACCTAGATATCTATTTGATGGTTTTCTGTAGACACTTGGATCTAGGCCACAGTATTTTCCTTCATTCTTTTTTTAATGGTCTGGTATAGCTAATTCTCCCTGACAATTTGGCAACAAACGTGACTTGTTGCTTCGAGATAAGATTTCTGAAAGTTTTAATGACCGATGAAATAAACCGAGTTGGACATGAGGATAAACATTCCTCGATGTCACTGGATGAAGATCAGGATGTATCACAAATTGACAGAAGACAAATGTGGACGATTGAATTCAGACCCAGTGGCTGACATACTTGTCATGAAACACAAACGTCCTGGATTCTACCTTTGAAGAGCAGAGTCATAGGTGCACACTGCTGAGACTTCTGGTACTTGAATGAAACAGCTATACGCCCTAAAAATGACTGATACTTATAACACCAACTGTAAGCCAAAACTGCACAAACATTCACTGTCGCACTTCGATAGACTATTCTCCAAGTTTCGTTGTATACTTTACTCTTGTCTTTGAACCATCTGTTCAACCCTGAAGAAGAGTATTTTAGAGGCAGTATTAGTAGAAAACGCTTCCATATGCTTATGTCACCACCATCTACTTTGTCACTCAGCGTTGGCTGAAGAGTAGGCTCAGAGTGGACATAATAAAACATAGGATCAGTACATGAAGTCTTTGTAGGAAAATGTAGGAAAATATTGACCATCCGGTTAGGATCCATGTGACAACAGAAACCAATAGGGGTTGGAGACTGTTAGCAAACTTGCTCCGAATTGATCACATTGGCGTAGTTGTACTCACACATATTTTTCGTAACTATAATAGGCTAACTGTGAGCACTTTTATGAATTCTCCTGAGTTTCAGAACCAGTCAATTCTAGTTTTAAGAATAGGTAGCCTACAGCAACACTTTGCAACGCGTCTAGTCACATATCACGAATCAAATGAAGATAAACTATACCTTAGTGTGTGTGTGTGTGTGTGATAAATACCATAGAGGTCAAGAGATGAGATGATTACGTAATGCTCAAGATATACACCTGAATCTCTTCAAACGGTTACACTAGATTTCATGATGGTAAGAATGAATGTGTTGATTTGTCATCCCAACGCGTTTAGAGCACTAAAATGTATTGGTTTTCTTAAGATTAATTATACTGATGAATGCTGAAAAGAATGAAACGTTATCCCAAGGTTTCATTTGGAATGTATGCAGTACTAAATATGCTGCTTTACATTGGATTGATTCGTTTTCATCAGAGTTTATAGGTGATCTATCCTGGTATTGATAACGAGACAGACAGGCAAGACCTCACACAAAAGTATATTAGTTCCACTGTCGCCACTTCATAATCAGACCACCTTTAATCTCCTTCTAACTCAACCTTACTTTAGACGACAGCACCACTCGAGGAAAGCGATGATGCAGCATGCGTAACACATGACCAAGTCAATTCAGTCGGGTAAGATTCACAAATTCATTCACTGACCTCATTTCCTTGTCTAGTACTCTACGCCTAACATGGAAATTGCTTAGACTGTGAATCCACTATATCCAAGCAGTACCAACAAGACTTCTGTGGAGAATAACCTGTAACCTTTTCATATCTTCCACTTCTAGTGACTATACCTCACATTCATAATAAAGGACAAAGCTTACAATATTGATGAAAGTTGACTGGTTTAAAATCGATCACCTGAAGTTACCACATGAAATTATAAGGAAACAGCAACTTGTATACATAACATCAAAAAATTCATGACATACCATACGCATTTTACAAAAATTGACCAAATTATTCTCCGTTATATTCAATGCACCTTCTTCAATAAATGATAAGTCGGTTAGATACATTCCCAGGTATGGAATACATGGAGGATCACATCTAAATTTTCATGTATACAAAATAAAAGAAGCCGACGTAATGTGGTAAGAAGATATGATGCGGTTTTGATTATACAAGAAATGTAGATTAAATTAAATCTACAAAATGGTCACCAAGCTAGAAAATCCTGTACCATAGTACACTTTCCCCTTGCATAGATTGATTCCAATCATTTGATATAGTTCATTAAGAAATTATTTAATTGTGCGGTTTATGAGGATTTATTGATTTCCAGGTGATATTCATCATGGATTTACATCCGTTGAAAAAGCACTGAAAGCCTTTTTTCTTCATAGTATAGGACTTCTAAGCAGTGTGTAATCATGACCACACCTTCCAGGGGTCATACTCAGCTTTCTCAGGCTTCTCAGTGAGTACGTTACCATTCAGCCAATGAATTGGAGTCTTATGGTCAACATTCTCCCACTTCCGTCGGTTATAAATATAGCGTGACCTCAAACCAACACCGTCATTAATCACTTATCCTCAATTCCAGCTGATAAGAAGTTGCAACGGTGGGACAAACTAAGTCGGACGTGAGGACAGGTACTCAATAACAGGAGTGGATGAAGGTTGAACTACATCATGAATCGATAGAAGTAGGAAAATGTAAACCATGTGATTCCAATCGGGTGACTCAATGGTAACGTGCTCGCCACGAAATCTGAATATGCGGCGTTCAATCCCTAAAGAGTGGGATCGTAGGTTAGCAGCAATTAGTAGCCACTTACTAGGACGAAACGGCTGTCCAGTGCTCCCAAGTTTTCAAAGTTTCTTCAGCTGATTTCCATCCGTGATGAATACTTACTTGAAGTACGTTTTTCACTAAATAGAGTTGAACTTCATTTAGAAGTTATCTGCCCTATCCTTCTGTCTGTACTCCCCCCGTCCGTTTATCGTCAATTTTGTCTTCCTGTCTGTCTTGATAAAACACCAGTTTGGTTAAAGGATAAGAAATTTCATCTAAATCTATCCCTGTGTGTATATTCAGGCATTCAATAAATTACTTTACAAGTTTTCAAGCAAACTAACTTATGAAAATAATTTACAAAGAGTCTTCGGTTCATTTCTTAAATCACATTAATGTATCGTTGCTTTAAGCCTCCAACCCCATAATGACTATTTGAAACCAGTTTCTCCACTTTGGCCTTAACAATCCACTTTCAGTTACTTTTGTCAAATCAGTTTCACTTCACTTCCATATACTTCTCTTTCATTATTATTATTATTATTATTATTATTATTATTATTATTATTATTATTATTATTACTATCACCATTTTTCACTTCATTGACAACATTCGACCCATATTTCATTATTTAATATCGATTCACTCCTTATTTATTGACCTATTTTACATGATTCAGTCAAATTATCACCGTTTTACAATATTCTTTGACAGCATGTATCTCTTGTCTCATCACTTGTAATCAACTCGTCCCTTATTATTCAACGATCCACTTTCCATTTCTCCCACTTCATCAAATTCAACCACCTACACCGATTGTATATTTTTCGTATTGTCTGTGCGTCTTTTTATTATTGTAATCATCGATCATTTTACCGAGTATAAATATGCCTGTACAGTTTGATAATGAAGTTGTTGAAAAGAAATGCTTCTTCTTCACTGATACATGTCTTCTTCTCATATCATTTACACAGTTACTTACCATCTGTGTAAACATTCTTTTTCCACTATGGTACATCCATTTAAAATGAACAGCTAACCTATGGATGAGAATTGCATCTTTTAGGTAGCCAAGATTGTATCAACTGAATAAATGTATGATATTAGGATAGTTGAGTTGGGTCTCAACAATACGTAAAAGTTTTCTTTCCACTTAAAAGTCTATTCAACTCTCCTCTATACTTTCATGAAAAAGGAAACGCTTTACGATTAATGGAGGGAGAATTGACAAAATCTTTAAAATATACCTGTGTAGAGCTTCACGCATAGACTTGAATCTTCCATCTGATGCTACAAGCATTTGTAATCGATCGATTGACTGTTTAGTTTGTTTGCTAACCCTTTCCCATGTTCTTTTTAGTCGATAAACGGAACTATTTACTAGGGCTGCACAAATTTGTAGTACACCATTGTAATTTTGCATACATCGACAAATGTCAGCTATAGCTACCCATTTGTCAATACACATGACTCGATCGTTTAAATCTGTGCGTGATATGATTTCGGATACAACAAGACGGCTGACCTAATCGTGCAGAGAAAAAAAAAGCAAGTATAAATCAACATATAACATTAATATGCTTCATAATTTCAAGCATTATTATTATTATTTGCCCCTTGGCTTCCGAGTGGAACATACGGCTTCAGTAGCACCTCTCCATTACACTCTCTTCTCTACAATATTTTCAACCTGGCTCCATGACAGCCCACAACCTCTCATTTCCTCCTCATACCATCTCCTCCCTGACACCCTCACCACCGACGTCCAACTCATCGTCTCCCATCTGCATCCCACTAGAGCAACTGGCCTGACGCGTGATGTCCCCAGTCCGCCTTCCCAGTGCATGCCCAATACAGTCCATCTCCACTTCCTTCCAGTGCATATTTGTTCAGAGAAAGGTTCTTACTTAGTTGGTTCGTTACCAGCCAGCCAGCCAGAGTTCCTTGTTGCTCATTCTCATTATTCTGGTCATCTGAGCTTCAGGAAGCAGTCAGAGTAGGCAGCTATTGATGAATGTCTATAGTTTGTTGGAAATACCTCTCGTAACACGCAGTGTCTCTCAATCATCATACACAAGCACTGACTTACTTGACTGACTTACTGTTGAAAGTCCAGATGTTGTTCACGCCTTATACTGAGTGCAGTGAAGAAGATCTGCAGACTGGTTTCAGGTGAATGAACGCCAGTCTTGCTGTCTTTCCGATGCTGGCTGGCTGGCTGGCTGGCTGGCTGGCTGGCTGGCTGGCTGGCTGGCTGGCTGGCTGGCTGGCTGGCTGGCTGGCTGGCTGGCTGGCTGGCTGGCTGGCTGGCTGGCTGGCTGGCTGGCTGGCTGGCTGGCTGGCTGGCTCTCACATCCTCGTCTGTGCCTATGCCGCCTGTAGTTGAAACAGTGCTGCCTTCTTCTTAGGTGTACTTGAAAGAGACTACTTCCTTTAAGTTTCTCCCGTTGATGGTGGTTGGAGATTGTTGTTGTTGTTGGTGGTGGTGGTGGTGGTGGTGTTGGTGTTGGTTGGGTATCTTCATCACCTCTGTCTGATCTACACTACATTCACTTGAAGTCCCGTCTTCGTTGCCCTGCCCCACCCTGCCCTGCCCTGCCCCACTCTGCCTCTTCTGTCAACTTGTTAGATTCTGCCTGCAGATCTTCGATTTTGTACGATACTAGACACAAATCATCTGCGAAATCGAAATGTTTTAAGATGTTTTCCGTGGTCCAACCGTCGTATGCCCACCCTCTCACTCCCCACTGTTTGTTGCACGATCCAGTCGACCACAATCAGGAATGTTATGGGTGATAGTAGGTGGCAACCTTGTGTTACTCCTGTCTTCACTTCAGAGGCATTACTGAGCTTCCCAATGTCAATTACTTGGCAAGTGGTGTCTTCATATAACTGTTGAATGAGGTTGATAAAGATTTGTGACACTTCGTAGTGTTGAAACAACTGCCTGCCAAATTGCTTTTCGGTAGACGCTGTCGAAGGCCTTTCCAAAGTCGATGAAGTTGAGGTAGAGAGTTGAGTTGACTGCCATTCTATACTCTGTTTTACGATGATGCATATTGTTGGGTTGCAATTTGATCTGCACTTGATTTGTACTTCCTGAATCCAGCCAGCCTGTTTCTGTCGCAGTTTTGAGTCCGGCACATCCTTTAGTCTCTCCAAGATGATGCAACATAATATTTTGCTTGGTGTGGAGAGGAGCTTGATTCCGCTCCAGTTCTTGCAAAGACTTAGATCTTCCTTGTTTGGGAGTTTGACAAGTTAGCCTAATCTACAGGTACCTTCCCTTCCTTCCACATGTTCTACAATAGTTGTGTGAGCCTGTTCGCTGTTGTCTCTGCGTCTATTTTCAGTGCTTCTGGCGGGATTCCATCCGGTCGTGCGGCTTTCTGGCATTTCAGTAGCTTTATGGCGTTCAGGACTTCGATAGGAGAATGAAACTACTGATAAATTTTAAAGTAGTATGCTTTATTATCAAACGTTTTTGTTGAAAACAACACAATTCCTCGAAAATACTGTCAGTAAAACTTTTCAACGAGGTGCTTAGCCATTTAGCATACAAAAAACAATCAATCACTTACCTCGTTGAAACGTTTGCATACTAGTAATACATGCTTAGCTTTTTCTTCCTTGTCTAGCTTCATCCAGGATTGATTGAGTAGTTCCCTGAAAAGAAAGTAAACAACCACTCAGCTCAGCATGACCTAGTGATAGATAGCAAGGGGAAACCATAACGTGCTTTTCGTCCTATTTTGGACTCTTCGAGGGGGATAAAATCACTTACTATGTGTACAGATACGTCCGGCTGACGAGTCCCGTGTAGGACGAAAAGCACATGTTCGATTCCACTGCTAGCTAACACCAAGTAAATTATAACAATCAATATATAGCCAATGTCAAGGTTTACACATAGAAGTTCATATGTTAACAGAAATAGATTGGTTTGATACAATATCAGTTGACTTCCAAAAGAAAGTACAGGTAATGACATAGTTGCACACCACTTTGAGAAGACTGGATACAAAATGTTAACCAATCAGATTGGAGATATGGTATGCATCTATCAAATGATCAGTTAGGCTGGACTCATAGGGAATAGCGCGTTATAACTATCCGTGCATAATCATTCATTTCACTTCCTTAAAGAGTTCTGAAGCCCTGATAACTACATCTGTTAGGACGTTGGCTGTTAAAAGCTTGGACCCGAAAATGCGCATCCTGAGTGAGCTACAAGTAGTTTTTATCATTTAATGCATCAACTATTCATATTATTTATGAATTATGAGGCAATGAAGTTGGTAGAACTAGTGAAGACTAAGTGGCTGGATATATTGAAAAACTATTCAGCGAAATTAATTGTTTAGGTTAAAATGAAAATTTGGCCCATCATAGGATTTGGACCAGTAACCCCTCGGTTTCTGGCACAATAGTTTACCAGCTAAGCTGTGAGACTAGGACTGATGGTCAGATTTTTAATTCAGTTCAATCACTAAGGATTTTGCATTGGTATCGTACTCATATTGGCTACCCAGTCAGTACTTCTCATCCCAATTAAAAACTGCTTGAATTAGAGTGGGGGAACATTACATTGATTATCAATTCGACGTTTTGTCCCTCTTATTCAGGCTTTGTATTGGGAAGACAAGACCTAATTAGGTGACCAATTTGAAAAGGCATTCGACAGCGTCAACCGTAAAGCAAGTTGGCAACTGCCTCAACACTATGGAATACCACAAACATTTATCGACCTCATTCAACAGTTATATCAAGAATACACATGCCAAGTGATCCACGATGGAAAGCTCAGTAATGCCTCTGAAGTGAAGACAGGAGTAACACAAGGTTGCCACCTACTATCACCCATAACATTCCTGATTGTGGTCGACTGGATCGTGCAACAAACAGTGGGGAGTGAGAGGGTGGGCATACGACGGTTGGACCACGGAAAACATCTTAAAACATTTCGATTTCGCAGATGATTTGTGTCTAGTATCGTACAAAATCGAAGATCTGCAGGCAGAATCTAACAAGTTGACAGAAGAGGCAGAGTGGGGCAGGGCAGGGCAGGGTGGGGCAGGGCAACGAAGACGGGACTTCAAGTGAATGTAGTGTAGATCAGACAGAGGTGATGAAGATACCCAACCAACACCAACAACACCACCACCACCACCACCAACAACAACAACAACAACAACAATCTCCAACCACCATCAACGGGAGAAACTTAAAGGAAGTAGTCTCTTTCAAGTACACCTAAGAAGAAGGCAGCACTGTTTCAACTACAGGCGGCATAGGCACAGACGAGGATGTGAGAGCCAGCCAGCCAGCCAGCCAGCCAGCCAGCCAGCATCGGAAAGACAGCAAGACTGGCGTTCATTCACCTGAAACCAGTGTGCAGATCTTCTTCACTGCACTCAGTATAAAGCGTGAACAACATCTGGATTTTCAACACTAATTCAGTCAAGTAAGTCAGTGCTTGTGTATGATGATTGAGAGACACTGCGTATTACGAGAGGTATTTCCAACAAACTATAGACATGCATCAACAACTGACTACTCTGGTAACCGGGAGGTCACTGCTTTGAATCATTCAAACAAACAGACGTATAAAATAAACGTAGTATCTCACACAGACGTGAGCGTCGATTTAGGTGATGGCTTGGCATGTACGGTGTATGTCCAAGTCATTTCAGTTGATGAAAGTTAACAACTTTATGTTAAGCCAGTAAGCAGAAGGAGATCTAATGCTTATTTCATCCCACTAATCAATAAATTAGGATACTGGTTTTCAACTCTAACCTTTATGTATATCAATTATATAATCAATAAATGAATTTTATGATTGATTTGAACGGTGTATTTTATAGATTCTCAGGAAACTTAACGTTTAGAAGAAATACACTGGACTACAAAATCGATATGACACTTTAATATATATTATATAATAGTAAATGGAATAATCATATATGACTTACTCGCTTCGTATAGAGCGGAATATTTGAAAATCCAAAAATGTTAGTTGTTCCGATATATCTAATGCAGACAATTGATCGAAATTTTTCTCCGATGGAATCTTGTATTATTATGATTATGATTATATTTTTATAAGATGAAAAGATGTACATATATATATATATATATATATGTGTAAGAATTTCTTTTAATCACATTAAAATAAACATTTTGACTATAGAATGCTTATGTGAATCGGTCGTATCTCCAGTAACTGAAAGAAATAAGTCTTATATTCTTAGAACTTTAAGCCTGAAGTTAGGATACCATCTTGTTGACAGTGATATGTTATAGTCTACCTCATCTACTACACCTTGACTATCTTAGGTAGTCGAGATTCTGCAAACTCGTTTCATTGATGTTAATATGATGAACAAATGTGAAATGAACATCTGGTTGGAACCAGTGAACTCCACTTAATCAGCCTAATACTCTATCAACTGTATCAATAAATCGCTATATGAAGTAGGCTAATCTAATATGGAATTAAATTCTACTTCACTACTCGGATTTCTTGACTTATATATACTTTACATGTACAGCAGCCGTCAAGACCGTATACTTAGGTTCATTGAAGCCGTAGCTATACGAAAGTTCGAACCCTCCTTCATGTATTCAAAAATACTTTAGCCTTACCTTAAACCTACCTTGCTAATCTTTATCTCATTTTCTAATCACATGACAGATCTCAAAATGTATTATTCCTCCTCATCATCCACATATTCTACAAATTTCCTATTATCTTTATTCATCTCAGCCGCACCCTCTTCTCATACTTCACATAAAATATCTTGACAAGTTAATGTGTGATCAGATTGTTCAAAATGTATTACACGAATACATAACACATTACTCAAAGATAACCTCCACTTTCTCATTACACTCTATGAACAATACTAACCCAATGAGATATTTATATTGGATACGAATACCGCCTATCCTACACTCACTGAGGCATGAGAATGTCATAAGACAAGGGAACTGCTCAATAATTGTAAGGAAGACACTTATTCGACACAATAAAATACATCGTCTATGTATATTAATGATAGGCAGTGGCTAGCAGTGGAATACAGGATGCGCACTTCTTCCTATTTGGGACTCGTCAGCTGAATGCACCTGCATCCCAGTGGGGAGTGATGTTGTCCCCACCGGAACTCGGTCTCGGGAGCGATCGCCTCAAACACCACAGCGTTATCCACTACACCACCGAGCCACGATGGCCACTTCTTGTATCAACAGAGACTGATCAATTCAGTCTAATCAACGACGGTGTCATACAAGCAATAACACTATATCATTTATAAACACTTTCATGAACAAATAAAACTCGTGACTCGGTGGTGTAGTGGATAACGCTCTGGTGCTTTAAGTGATCGTTTCCCAGTCCGAATCCAGGTGGGAACAACATCACTCCCCAGTGGGAGGCAGGTACACCCATCTGACGAGCCCCAATTAGTATGAAATGCGCATCCTGGACTCTACTGCTAGCCAATATCCACCACTACTATAATTGGAGCACAGGCAATATCGAAGTATCCTCACAGGATCCCACATGCCAATACTGACCGATCATTTCGGTCCAATCAATGACGGTACTTTCATAAGCAATTATACTATTACAATATAAATATTCCACAACCATGCATCACTTAAGTCATGGCTTGGTAAATAGGATGGTGAAATAACCGGTAAGGGATCTACGAGGATCACACATGTAACCAGGTGTATCCCTTCACGCACACAACGTTGCACCAGTCAACATGTAAATCATGGTAAATACACTAATCAGTCTAATATCTTAGTGTAATGCACGTTTTATCAATCTGTTAGAGGCAATCTGACCGGTGTAGGGAACTTAGATTTGGTACTACTCTGTGCTGGATAGTCATACTTATCTGAAAGCCCACAGAAGCTAGTAGTTCTGTTCATGATTTATGAAACTATACTACTGATTAGCATATGTAGTTTGAAACCTCATCCCTAGATCTATATGTTTCACCGACCAGATGACATTCACGTTAGAAATGGACATTGCTATTTTCACAATGATTTATCTCAGACAGTTAACTTTCTCAAACTACCTTAGTTTGAACTTCTTGAACTTCCATTTGCCTATTCAAACGGGACTAAAAACTAAAAAATTCAAGAGAACATCTTTTCAAATATAAAGCTGCGTAGGAATTATTTTAAGCCACTGTCTACAAATACCTAAATGGATACACTTTCCTCCCTGCTAACTAATTGAGTTTTTTAATTTAAACTACTTATTAGTAGTCAAAAAACTAACCTTAAATATTCAAAAGACATTTAGACATATGTAGTATTAAATAAAAGGAAACAGTTCAGTTTACAAATTCACTTTATAAAAATCAAGATGATTGACTTACTTGTGTCGGTGTTAATATGCTGTCAAGATCAATTCTATCATGGACTAACTGATCAGAGATCATTTGGAGTAACAATTGACCAGCCACTTTTTGATCATTTGGCATTAAGTGAGGACAAGTGACTAAAGCATCTAAAAGAGTTTGCATTTCACGTTTTAAGACTGCATCACTTTCGAAATCCTGTAAAGAATGAGATAAAAACATAAACATATGAAATATTATCATTTAGAAATCTGAAATAGTCATGATTTGGCAGACTAGTATTCATACTGGTTAATGATTGAAGATGAAAGGAAAATTGGAACCTCAATGGAATTCGAACCAGCAACCTCCGGGTTTCCGTTCGATGCCCTACTAACCCTGTAGCTCAGTTGGTAGATCATCGAGTCAGAAACTTAATATTCGCAGGTTCGAGTTCAACCACAGTATGGACACAGTATAAACGAAAAATATTAGTAAATAGAATAAAATAATATTTTCCGTTATTAACATCATTAACTCTAAAGGTCATCCTAGTCAATCCTGAAATAGCCAATCAATTTTCTGTATTTCAACTGAAAAAATAGTTTTTTCACAAAACATAGAATTGTTTTAAGTCATCACAATATATGTTTCAGATGACTTTTAGAGTCATCTCATTGATATAGTCTAATGAGAAACTGACTTATGCTACAGTCATGTTTCGCAGTATAAATCACACTTGAAAATTGTCATTGTCAACAGAAGGCCTGGCGTTACTGTGCAGCTTCTCAATTACAACTTCATCGATTTTGAAAAGGCCTTCGATAGCGTCGAGTGAGAAGTAATTTGGTAGTTGCTTCAACACTAAGAAATACCACAAAACTTTAACAACCTCATTCAACAGCTATGTGAAAACGCTACATGCCAAGTGATCCACAAATGGAAAGCTCATTGATGCTTTTGTAGGGAAGACAGGAGTAAGACGATGTTGCCAACTACTATCACCGGTGATGAACATCCTGACTATGCAACAAACAACTGTGAGAAGCAAGAAGATGGACATACGCTGGACCGATGAAAAGAGTGTAGAAGATTTGGATTTTGCCAATGACTTATCTCTTATGTCCCACGAACTCGAAGATCGACAGCAAAAACTAACAAGTTGGCAGAAGAGGCAGGCAGCCAAGACGGGACTCCCTTCAGGAGAACGTAGGGAAGATAGAGGTGAAGATACCCAATAAACAACAACGACAAGCACCAATCACCGCTAACGATAAAAACCTAAAGGAAGAAGTCTGTCTCACCTACCTACCTTCTTAGGTAGCATCGTCTCAACTACAGGCGGCCTAGGCATAGATGAGGCTGTCAAAGCCAGCCAGGATCGAAAAGAAAGTAAGACAGGCCTCCATTAACCTGAAACCAGTGTAGAGATCTACTGCACTGTACTGCATTACACTCAACATAAAGCGTGAGCAAGTTTCGGATTTTCAATACTCATTCACTAAAGTCAGTGTTTCTACATGGTGGTTGAGAGATTTGGTGTGCTACGAAAAGCATTTCTAACAAACTACAGACATTCATCAACAGCTTTCGCTTACGCTCACTCGATACTGAAGATGGAGATGAGATGGTCAGAATAATCAGAATAAACAACAAGGAACTCTGGCAACGAACCAACCAACGAACATGCAGAAGAAAGTGGAGATGGATCGGGTATACACTGAGAAGACCAATTAGGGACATCACGTGTTGTGTCAGGCCGTCGAGTGGAAGCTGAATGGGAAACTACGAGTTGGGCGTCCAAGTGTGATGTGCAGGAGATTGTATGAGGAAGAAATGAAAGATTGTGGGTAGTCACGGAACCAGGTGGAGCCAGATTGGATAGCAGAGAATACAATAGAGATGTGCTACTGAAGCCCTATGTTCCAATAGAAAAATAGAGAGCAAATGATAACAAAATAATGATAGTGTGATCCAATGGTGAGCGTTTCGTCTCATTTGGGATTCGTCAGCTAGATGTACTTGAACCCCAGTGAGTCATGCTGCTTTTGTTTAAATTGGTAGAAGTAAAGCCTTATGACCACTGATGAGAAGCATTTAGTCACAACTTATTGTGTTCTTGTCAGATCATACTATACTGGTTGGTAACTAGTCATCGTTCGTAGCATTTACGCCTACACAATTTACAGTTAAAACCATTTTGTTAGGTAACAATCTATTAAAACTTACGATTTCCTGGTTTCATCACTAAAAAATCAGCAATACGACATATATACACTTACATATGCACAGAAAAATCAGTTAGAGTCCTGTCAGTTTAAGATGGTGACAAGTTTCAAATATTTCTGAACATCTGAAGTGGAGATTTTAGACTATTTTAGATGCCTTTCTCATCATCCAAATAAAAATTGTTTCTTCAGGATTGCTTTTTCATTGATATGTGAAGTAGTTGAGAGAGCTGACCACTTTGCTTATTTGAGAAATGGGATCAATCCTGGCAGATCAGTAACCAATGAAATCTTTTCAGTGATACAAAAAAAGGGTTGATCGAATTTCGCCAGCTCACACTATCTACTATACTGAAGAGATATCCTGTTGTCTGTTAAGGTTCAAGTGTACGCCATAGAGATTTGTTATGTCCAAGAATATATTTGTGAAATACGTTTATTAAAATTGGAGGAAATCACAAGACCCCGTATACTGTGGAACCACCACGTTAGTTAAGTAGAGGTCAAGTGTGCAGTCTTAGAGAGGAGAGAAAAGTCAGTCTATGAAGTTATGAACCTTGATTAACTGGAGTGGCTGACAGATGTGTTACGCATAGTTACTCACCATCTTACCTGCAGTGCAATGTTTATTGAAGTGGGAGTAGGCTAAACCAAAATAATGACGTCAGCCCCTCAAGTCATCGACTTTCGACTCATCTATGAAGATAAATATGAACTTCCAAGTTGTCGTCCACGTGACAACCGAAATCGGTAATGGAAAACCCAAGTGAAATGGTTCTGATTTGGCTTGCGTAGTATAGATTTATCCACATCTTATCTTCATCCTAACGCTTATATCCTTCCTGTCTTCTCATAAAGTTTTGGAACTACTGACTTGATTATTTCTATTCCCTTATATTTCATCTTGATGATTCCTACCTAGATGTTTTGTCTTCGACAGACAGACTCAGTTAGAAGTCGATAAGCGACAGTGTTAGACGTAGGTTTCTTGCCTGCTAATTTTTATGAAAGGCATGTCTTTGTGACGTTTTATGTACCCTTTGGAAACTCATCCAGTAGTGAGGGCAGTACACAATTACATTGACTGAAACAGCTCACTAGCTTGGTGAAATTTCGTCTGCACTCAAGAAGATGGTTACAACTCAAAGTTGGTTAATACACTTGGTCTTGTACCATGAAAGGTAGACACTGGTTCAAACAGCGTACGAATAGCTTAAGGAAGTAAGTCAGTCACATGTATATCATCAATCTAATGTTGTACTGACTGAATTATCTCATTCAAATAGGAATCAGATCTCTGTTTCATTCCACTCACTAAGTATCCCATCTAGGTGTTGTATAAAACAAGTTTGTGACTTATATTTATTCACCAAAGTAACAAGATATTCAGCTGTTTCACTTTAATGAAACTTACCGAGATGCAATTTTTCATTTTACCTTCAGTTATCACCTAGTATCTGCCAGAAAACAACTATCTTAGACAGTTAAACTGGTAAACTGAACAAATTCATCCATCATACTGTCATTAACTTTACTCTATGTTGGTTGAATATCGAGATCATCAATTTCCATACTCTCAAAGAATACAGACAACAGATTTATCATTCCGTCTAAAGAATTCACCTAAAATTTCAGGTTATTCCTGTAGTAGTCCTCTTACTAAGTAGTTGAATTAATTACAAGGTTCAGAGTTCGACCCCAAAAGAAATTAGAAGCATGTATGTAGGAGAATTCATAGTTAGAATGATTTTCAATCATTCTTGTTGCTATTGTGGTGACAATTTTGTCTTGGAGATTGTCCAAAGACATACTCAAAGCTACATCCATACGCCTGTAGATACAAGGATTAGTTTGACCAAAATAGCTTTTGACAACCTCTTTAATTTTTTCAGTCAGTGATTTCACTGCTTAAATGTTATGAAGTTGTGCATCAAAAAAGCACCTTCAAACTAGACTAACAGCTGGATAAAAGTGCCTTCAAATGGGGGCGAAGAAACGACTGTATCCAACCTTAGGGTTCGAAGGACATGCAGTTGCAGAAACAATAATAAATTCCCTCCCCGTCACCCGGATAAGTGTAAATGTAAATATTATCTCTGTTTGTACTCTTATCAGTATCATTTTATTTTATTTTTCGTCCTTAGTTTCATAAATGATTACGAATTTTAACATTTTATCTAATCGCTATTCAATTAAATTTTGAGGGGGTTGTGGAGATTTGGAAATATTTCAAGTTGTTATTCATCGAAGACTGACATCAGTTGGAGGAACAAAGGAAACCTGGGAGCACTGGACAGCTGTTTCGTCCGATTAGTATGGGACTCCTCAGCAGTGCGCACCCACGACCCCACCAGCAGGGATCGAACCCGCCACCTTCAGGTTCCGCGACCAGCGCGTTACCATTGAGCCACTGGGTCAGAATCCAATGCTCCATATTTCCAACTTCTGTTAGCTCACGATATAGCGCAAACCGCCACCCAACGTCATCGTTGAGTATTTGTCCTCACGGCCATCAGGCTTTGACTCCACCGGTCACGACTTGTCATTGTAACTTCGGGAATACTTCTCGAAGCTAGTCACCAACGAGCACTAGTTCAATTAAATTTTGAGGGGGTTGTGGAGATTTGGAAATATTTCAAGTTGTTATTCATCAAAGACTGACATCAGAAATTCGGCTTTATCTCACCTCGTTGACAGTGGTCACTTCGTAGATAAGAACAGTTGCTTTCACGATTAGTCACTACATACCACCTCATCCCTTGAAAGGTACTCGAACTAGTCTTTTACACATAACAGAAGCTGTGGGGAGTCGAGCCAATAGTCCTAGTTTTTGTACCCGTATCTCCCCCTTGCACAGGGAATTGAAAATAATTCATAACTTCATCACTGAATTTTTTATCCTACCCCTCTCTTATTCTTCACCCCTTTCATATACTAACTATATTTGTTTAGACTTTGTTTATCCGCTTGTCTTTTCCTTCAGTATTACAAAACTTATATTTTTTCAGGCTTTTGACCCACTTTACTATCGGAGTGTCTACATTTTCATCCTGCTTTCTTGGTTCTTATCATCAACCAGTCGGAACGGAAGCAAATGCCAACTGAAGAGCTTGGATGATAGTCACGTTATATCGTGAACTGACAGAAGTTGGGAACTGTGAACTACTGAAAACCGACCCTGTTTCTGAATGGTTAATGAGTTCACCGTGAAACCTGAAAGTCCTGCGTTCTATCCTTAACCAGGTCGTGGGTACATACTGCTGAGGAGTCCCATACCAGGGTAAAATGGCTGTCCACTGCTCTCAGATTTTCAATAGTTCCCCAACTAACATCAGTCCATGATGAATATTACCCCTTATCATCATTATCATCTATATTGAAAGTACTTTAGTCAACGTCATCGGTTTTATTATTTGTATAATTATCACTATCGTTATTATTATTTGTTGATTCGCTTTTAGTTCTCCGTTGATTTACCTGATCAAATTGTTTGGTCTCTATTGGTATATGGACTCCTATACGTCCTGGATCCATCTGTTGGACACAACTAACATTTTGGCAATATCGAGGTATCCGCATAGGAGCCCACATGCCACTAAACATTTAACAAAAATACGTATTCGCTTCAAACTCTGCCTTCTAATTATCACAATGGGAATATTTAACTTACATCAGGGAATTTAGTAATCCAGTGTCGAACAACATTCAGCACTCGTAGACATGATGCTGTAGCCAACATTGTATTCCTTTTTGCTTGATTAGTACAATGAGATGCTCCTGAATTGACACCAATATTATTCGATTGGATTAAGGTTGGACTAGTTAGATTGTAGGTATGAAAATTAAAAGTATTATTTGTTGATGTAGTATTACTGGTTGCTGTTGCATTCAACCCATTTCTTCCAATACTAAAACGAAAAGAAATGTTTGCTGTTGGCGTTGTTGACGATACTGCTGAAGTGGTCATCACTGCCGCTGTAACTGACGTTGACGATGACATTGTGTTGGTGACACTGGAAGAAATTGGATACATGCTGATTGAAGTGTTTTGAGAAGAAGAAGAAGAACGATTTGTAACCACATTGATATTACTATTGCTACTTGAAACCGAAGTTGATCCAGATCGAAGACCAACTTGTGAAGCTGCAGCTGTTGCTGTACCCGCTGAGAAACGATAACCACCTGGACGAAATAAATTTGGTCCTAAACCCATTATACCAACTGCAGCCAAAGGATTTGCACTACCCGCTGTAGCGACTGCAAATGCTTGAGCAGCTGCAGTATTACTCGACCTGAAATAATATTATTCAAATGATCATTTTATAGATGAAAACAGTTTCAAAGAACATCTAGGCGAAATACTGAAGTCTAATTGGTCATTTCACCAGTTGCTAGGGTGGTCTTTAAAGTTGCCCTACATAAACAGGAACCTCACCTAGTTTACTAGCCGGTCCTAATCCCGGATAAAGAGGGAAGATTAGGCATAGAGTTAGCAACACTATCCCGTAAAACCAATCCAATCGCTAAAGAAACTTCAATGCACAAAGAAAATATAAAAAATAAAAATAAACTTATTCCTCATTGGAATCCAAGAGACGAAATGACGCCAGTTGGTGAAAGCCTTCGGGAAGCCAACTAGCCCATGTGTCTTTCTCTTCCTCGGTGAAAGCAAAAGTAAGATTGGGGACATGGAATGTTCATACGGTGTTTAAGTCTGGCTGGCTAGATTGCAAAAAATTGAGAAGATATGGCAAAGAAGTTCTTGGAATCTGCGAGCAATCTGCAGATGGAAGTGGACTCTCCAAACTGTTAACTCGTGAGTCAATAATCTACTCCGATATTGTCACCCGGAGGACAATCATGAGCACACTGTGTTTTTGAGTAGCCATCATAGTGTCCCCAAGAGCATCGAAGGCTATCATGTAGTGGGAATCAATCTCCTTCTGCAGGTTAATAACAGCAAGATACAACTCAAAAGGAAAGAAAGTCACAACCATACAATGCTGTGCTACACACCTACAAGTAATGCAGATCAAGAGAAGGAGGAGGAATTCTATAAACAACTACAATCAGTAGCGGACAAGACTCCAGTTGGCGACATCAAAATTCGAATGGATTGAGTAACATGAATGCCAAACTGCGAGCGGACAACACAGGAAGGGAACTCTTCATAAGTCGAAGAGCACTCGGTGAAATGATGAATGAGAATGGAGAACTGTTTATGGACTTCTGCGCATTCAACGATTTGGTGATTGGAGGTAGTGTGTACAAACGCAAGGATATTCACAAAGCTATATGAATTTGATTTTACCAGACAGACACGCTAAAAGTCACGTCGACTGCATTTCAACCCCAAAAAAGTGGAGATGCAGCCTACTGGACACAAGATCAAGAAGGGGAGCAGAGGTAGGTTCAAACCGCTCACCACCTAGTACAAGGAACCTTCAAAATCAAGTCGAGAGCCTTCACAGAAGTTGGCGATAGACCACAGTTCAAGTGCAATACCCAGAACGGAAGCTGAAGGACGAAACTACAAATGATATCTTCACGTCAGCCACCGGGAAAAAGTGAGAGACATTGAGCAACATCCGTGATGAAACCTGTGTGGAAGAACACTGGAACTCTTTGAAAGAGACGTGGGAGGATACACGCATAACCATGTTAGGAAGGAAGACGAAGCAAGACAAGGAATAGATCTCAACGGACACACGGAAGCTGATAGAAGAGAGGAAGGTGGTGATGGTGAAGCAGAAGATGAACCAGTGCAGTGTAGGGATGAATAACGAAAAGTGGAAGTGACTACAACCTATGAAACACTGGACAAAGAAGTTAAGAAGAGTGTGTGCAAAGACAAAAGACAAAGATATGTAACTTGGTAGAAACAATGGGTTGAGGTTCACTCATTCAAATGTTATTTGCATTTTTGTTGAAGTATGAATTTCGCCTTCTCCCCTAAGATGACCTTGTTCTTACAGTATGTCTTGCTAACAAATGATATGAGTATTTCGTTGAAGATTAGACTGTTGGATTCACCTTTGTATGACAAATGTGATATGTATATTTTTTGCTGATTTTACACCTATTAATTAATTTTAGTGGATATTCACTTTGCATTAATTTATCCGTGAGAAATTTGGTTTCCATATGCACACGTACATCAACCAACAAGGCTCCTAACGGATTCCCTATGTGAACACCATCAATTTTTCGAGAATACATAGCATATAGGCATATATTATCATTTACTGGATAACGCTTCGAGCATGAATTATCTCTCATAATCACATCAAACTAATCACACAACTACTATTACATGTGTTCAGTGTAAACTAGGTGAACGAAAATTCGGTACTATAAATAGAGTGAAAGAAGGTGAGCTACTGTTATGCTATGCTTCGACATAAAAGCATTCAATACAGTAAAGACAAAACAAATGTACTCATGGCAAAAATTTGGTTTAATGTGAAGAAAAAGAGTATAGTTTAGTTATACTGGGTGGAGATGGATTGGGCATATACTGAGAAGGCCGACTGGGGACATCACGCATCAGGCCCTCAAGTGGAACCCAGATAGGAAGCGACAAGTTTGGGCGTCCGAGGATGACATGGAGGAGATCGTGTGAGGAAGAAATGAGAGCTTGTAGGCTGTTGTGGAACCAGATTCAAAAGTTTGCAGAGAAGAGAGTGCACTGGAGATGTGCTACTGAAGCCCTATGTTCCATTAGCAACCCAAGGGACAAATCAGTAATAATAATAATAACAAACATACTGGGTGATGACGACTTAAGGTGAAGTGAAAATTTGCACCTCAGCTGAATTTGAAGCATAGAATATCGAGTTTCCGGATCGATGCTTTACCAATTAAGCTACTAGGTTCGACTGCTGATCAGATTTTCATTTCACTTCACTCACCATGGGTTTTACCTGACTAATGACTAGGTAGCCAGTGTGAGTACGATCAAGCAGTAGTAGTGCGTCACGAACTCATATGGTAGTCGAGACAACCCTTAGTGATTGAAATGAAACAAAAATCTGGTTAGCAGTCGGACCTCGTTGCTTAGTTGATAGAGCATTGAGACAGAAACCTGGAGCAATCTAGTTGGAATCCAGCCTTGGTTCAAATTTTCATTTCACCTTCAATCATCATCCAGTATATTTTAGTTCATTTGTCAAATAGATCACAGAGGGAAACAGTATTATTTACTAGATTACGGTTCGAACACTATCTATCATCCAATGTCATGTCGAAATGGATCCATGAAGTCAAGACTTCGTTCATATGGATCTAATTTTCTCACCTCCTTTATGATATAGGTAGTGGGATTTTTCCCATTTTATCCAGAAGAGGTACTGAGTTATTTCTGTTTCACGTATCTGGTGTTGATTCGATGAACGAAGATACGATTTCAACCTCTTCCTACACCCCATTAATTTGGTTTATGAACTGTCACCTTGTCCCATCCTAATGTATGTTTGTGGGTAATTGGTTGCATACCTATAGCCCAGCTATCCTCTAAGTTCCTCATCTTACTAGAATCGACCCATTTTGTGCTCGGATAGCACAAATGACCTTGACATATAACTATGGACAGTAAATTATGTCCGTAACTTTGTTATCCAGTAAATGATACTATCCCGCTGCATAATAATCCTCATAAACAGACTGAAATGCAAATATAAATACAACACACTTGAGTTTTTTTTAATTATTACAAATCTTCTTGAGTAAAAAAATGTTGGGAACTTCTTTTTAAGATAAAAACAAAGCCGAAACTAAATGATTTGTAAAACAAAGAGAACAGTAAATAGATAACCAATTTCCTTCTTATTAAGCTTGTCTATTAGATTTTATCGAATAAAACTCACTCTCTAATGGAAATCAACATTTTAAGTCATCAATCGCTGCTAAAGTAGAAGTTATTGTGAATCATATAGATGTGTGGTCAGGAAAAACCTTATTGGACAATTTAATCTCACAGCTGACCAATCAGAATAGATTATTAAATTTTCGACCTAGTATTTTTACCGTTATTGCTTGTATTTTATGGTCGTTGATTGGACTGAAATGATCGGTCTGTATTGGCATGTGGGATCCTGTGAGGATACTTCGATATTGCCTGTGCTCCAATTATAGTAGTGGTGGATATTGGCTAGCAGTAGAGTTCAGGATGCGCATTTCATACTAATTGGGGCTCGTCAGATGGGTGTACCTGCATCCCAGTGGGGAGTGATGTTGTTCACACCTGGATTCGGACTGGGAAACGATCACTTGAAGCACCAGAGCGTTATCCACTACACCACCGACTCACGAGTTTTATTTGTTCATGAAAGTGTTTATAAATGATATAGAGTTATTGCTTGTATGACACCGTCGTTGATTAGACTGAATTGATCAGTCTCTGTTGGTACAAGAAGTGGCCATCGTGGCTCGGTGGTGTAGTGGGTAACGCTGTGGTGTTTGAGGCGATCGCTCCCGAGTCCGAGTTCCGGTGGGAACAACACCACTCCCCAGTGGGATGCAGGTGCATTCAGCTGACGAGTCCCAAATAGGACGAAGTGCGCATCCTGTATTCCACTGCTAGCCACTGCCTATCATTACTATACATAGACGATGTATTTTATTGTGTCGAATAGAGTGTCTTCCTTACAATTATTGAGCAGTTCCCTTGTCTTATGACATTCTCATGCCTCAGTGAGTGTAGGATAGGCGGTATTCGTATCCAATATAAATATCTCATTGGGTTAGTATTGTTCATAGAATGTAATAAGAAAATGGAGGTTATCTTTGAGTAATGTGTTATGTATTCGTGTAATACATTTTGAACAATCTGATCATACATTAACTTGTCAAGATATTTTATATGAAGTATGAGAAGAGGGTGGTGCTGAAATGAATAAAGATAATACGAAATTTGTAAAATGTGGGGATGATGAGGAGGAATAATACATTTTGAGATCTGTCATGTGATTATAAAATGAGATAAAGATTAGCAAGGTAGGTTTAAGGTAAGGCTAAAGTATTTTGATTACTTGAAGGAGGGTTCGAACTTTCGTATAGCTACGGCTTCAATGAACCTAAGTATACGGTCCTGTTTTGGGGTCAATTCTGTGACCTATCGACGATGACGTCTGTCTGTATCCTGTATTTATCAGATTATTTGAATGTAATTGTTTTTCTAACCATTTAGGGATAAGCTCCACCACCCTCGACTTCATAGTTCGACTACTACTCTCATTATATGGTCACCTCACACACATGTAAATTGGTATACACAGTGGGATGGGAAATAACC